TCAACAGCTACAATGTTCAGTCAGCCAATGCATACTAAGGATAACGTCAATTTCCTTGTATGGTATTTTGACGATGTTTTGCAAGGAATTGTTGCTTAACGAACGATTTCGATTTGTATGATATAATCGCATATTTGCGTCGTAATGAGTTAGACATCAGAATGGGACACTTTTAAACAATAGAGTTTATTGATTTTAAACGTTCGTGTTTGAATCAGCGATCCTATCGTCTTTAGTCCACATGATGATCTTTGACAACAACTTCACAGATGTTATTCAACATTAATTGTTTCTTCATAGTCGTCTAACTTCTAAGCGACTTTACGAGACCGATCAGTTTCGTCATTCGCGATGCGATAAGTATGTTGACAACGTATCAGGGAGTCATAATTTTTTTAATTCTTTCGTCTCTTCACCGAGTACGAAAAATCTACTTGAGTCTATGCTCGATATAATTTCAATACTAACAATTATTCTCTAATGAGAATTTTAACAAGTCAATATTTACCTAGTAAATTCTCATACCTTTCCTGGAGCAGAGGGATGTGAGAGTCGTGGATGTGATTGACATTTTTTTAAAAAAAATCAAATTCGATCCGAAGATCGGGTTTAAAACCATTTGCCCCGATACCAAAATGTAACACCCTAATCTGTCCAGGTCTGCAGCCCCTTTCAGACTAAAGTATTAACTTGGAAATCGTAAAATTTTAAAACTTTTCAAACACTTTTATTTATCACAATAATATTTTTTTATAACATATACAGTACGGAGTATTCAACAATATTGCGAAAGCTTAAGAAATCATAATCACAAACATAATTAAAACCATCACATCCATTCCGACAATCTCGCCTCCGTCTCCCTCCAGGATTACGTCACATCATTCTTTCTATTAACTTGCGTGTAGCAAATAAAACATACTACACGCTCAGCGCTAAAGCTGAGTAAGCATACTTGAGGATGTTCTTGAACGCTCTTCCTTATCACCGTATACCAGGAATGCATCCTTAGTATTGCGAAGATACTTGAGGATGTTCTTGAACGCTGTCCAATGTGCTTCTCCTGGACATCCCTGCTATCTGCTGGTCACACTTAAAGAAAATGAGACATCCCTGCTATCTGCTGGTCACACTTAAAGAAAATGAGACATCAGGTGAAGTACATATCATGGCGTACATGATGGATCCAATCGCAGAGGTATATGCAACCTTCATCATGAGTTCCTTCTGCTCGGGAGTACAAGGACTCTGGTTCTTAGAATTTGAAACCATTGGTTGAAAAGGAAGAAGATAAATCATAATCATCAGGGCTTAAGGAAGCACTAGATGATGTGAAGGCTCAAGCCAAAGAAGAACGTGAAGACATGATCATTGATAGACCATTGAGCAGTTGGGTTGATCAAAATGAGCTTGGAATCAAACCCCTCTTGAAATCATGTTCCATTAATTAAATGGCTAAACCATGGAAGAGAACTACGAGTGGAATTACGTAGTTTTTCTTTATTTCATATTGACAGGCCATGGACACCTGATTTTGTGGATATGTATTAATTGAGAAAAGGGGATCCGGCATGTTTATACCTACCCATGTCCACGCCTCACCAAGGGATAGAACCACGAACTCATTTAAGTTTAGGTAAAAACAAACCCAGTGGTGAATTAAAGAAGAAGGATGTTGCTTCCACCAAAGATGAGTTCTTAGGCTATGGCATAACTAGCCTAGAAGTGCAACTTGATGAGAAGATTCAAAGTGTGAGAGCCTCGCCTCGAAAGCTATCCGTACTAACGTGGTACCTCATACCAAATTTGTTGAGTTTTTGCAGGTTCCATTTGATGAAAAGGGATTACAAGGAACTTTTGAGTTTTACCATAAAGCTCGAGAAAAGATTGAGAAAAGAAATGAGTCAAAAGGGTCCATCCATTTTCAGCCCGGAGACCTAGTATGGGTTCACATTCAAAGAGAGCATGTCTTTGATAAAAGCAGGTCAAAGCTAACACCCCCGAGACGATGGTCCATTTAAAGTGCTAGCCAAGGTCAACACCAATTCCTACATGGTCGATCTTACAAAAGGACATAGAGTTTCTGCAACATTCAACAGGAGGGACCTCAGTCCATATGAAGGTTTTGAATTCCTTCCGAGTTTGAGGGCAAACTCTTTTGAAGACAGGGAGGATGATGTACCCGAGCCCGACCCTTTCAATCCCTTCCCCACGCCTCACACAATCATGGGAGCCAAAGGGGCCAAAATAACTTTCATTTTGACCTAAGGGTTCCATTGGTGAACCCCGACCCCATCCAACCCAACCCTAAACATCCAAAAACATTTCCCTTTAAAAATAAAGTTTTCCTACACTTAT